TACTCGTGCGATCCTTTAAGATAGCACATTAATTCTTTTTTCACGAGTAATACAAAACCGTATAAAACGACGCTTTGTACGATTGCCTTTGTTCGCATCTTTGTGACTGTTTTAATTAATCGGTACTAGTCTGTTGTTGCCGTGAAATTAATATTCGCGCACGAAATATATTTTTGGTGTAAAGGTACGTTTTTCAATTGTTTGGTCAATCGACAGTTTCATTTTAGATAGTTAAAAACAACACTTCCAATTTTGTTAAGTTAGGACCAATTTCACAAACGTCGGTTAACTACTAACCAAAGGTTAATTGATTTTCTGTCTCTTCTTAAATAATTAGACGGAAAAACAGACAGAGAGTCGACTGAACTCTAGTTAACAGTTAACCGACGTTTGTGAAACTGGCCCTTAGTGTATAAAATTATGTTTTTTTTCTCTTTCATGGAAGACGCAAAATAACTTTTCGAGTCGTAAATTAACAAATTGTAACGATGTAAATATCATAAATGAAGCACTTAAGCCTTTCGGACGTAACGTCACTATTTTATCAACCACTGGGCGGACTTTATTCGCTCCCATCATGGCGATATGTGTCATGGGGTATGACGGAAGATCGCAAATAACACTTGCGCATATGCGGCGAGCGATTCACGGACAACTGTAACAACAGAAGAAGGCGTCAATTAAAATTATGGTGACCATCTGTCACAATAAAGACCGACACGTCGCGACCGCGAATTGTTCCGTGCGTAAATCCGCCGAAACTGCGTAGCGCAACCTTTTTTCCATCGTCCGCGCGAAACACGGGGGAGGGGCAGGGGTGGATTGATTGATGAACGACCGTAGAAGAATCGGAGAGCGTTGTTACGTGACCAGAATATGGGCTGTTGACGTTTTTATTGCCCGACAGTAATCACTGGTAGCAGAACAGCGTTTTTGAAATTATTTCTCTGTAATTAGATAATTGGACGATTTAATTAGAATTAAAAGATTTAATTAGTAATTTAGAATAATGCCCGCTTATAAGCAATGCGGCTTAACTTTACACCCTCAGAAAGGCTTTCTGTTACCGAGACAAAAAATATTCTTGACGCATTTATATTTCTCGCAACCTCATTTAGTATAAAAATAAGACAATATCAAAATAAAACCAATAATTCTTATTCTCCTCTATCGAATTAAAAAAGATTGACTTACTATACTGAGACAAGAGTAACTTATATAAATGTAAGTTTATATATTCTTGCGTTTAGAATAAATTTTCCCCCCATCTTGGCATCACGATATTCGACAAAAAACGATATATATTATCACTTTATTCTAGATTATAAACCGCGTTGGCATAAATCGAGGATGATCGTTTTCGATAATCCGAAATTCTCGAAACCGAAATGAATCGGAAGCGAGAAGTTGATTGTATCTTTTTTCCTCGCGAAATTTTGGAATTAAAACTTGTCTGTGCTTGGACAAAGACTTTCTCGTCAAACTTTGTTACGGACTTTTTATCGCATCGGGCCTGCGTCTTACTACTCCGTACTTCGTCGCGAACCTAAACAATTATTCAGTCGACGTAAAAATTACGGGCGGATTTACGTCGAGCAATCAAATTGGACGGTGATAGTTACCTATACGAATTTGTTATTAGCGCCGCACTCTTTATTGTCGTTCGCAAAAATGCAAGGCGCGACTCGTCGGAAACCGAACGGGGCGGCTCGCGCCGAATTTCCCGGCGCAATTACGTGCACGTTAAAACCCGACGGCATTTGGCGATGCAGTTTCGCGCGAAAAATTATAGCGAGTCATCCGTGCGGCCGTTTCTTGGACGCAACGAAGGGCTCGTTTGCATTTCACGTTAATAACGGGACCATGTGGCACCGAAGGCAGCCTGCTGCCAGAGCTGCGCGCGTCAATAAAATAAAATTCCATCCGGCAGGAACGGCGGCGGTGCGCCACGTGGATCTTAAAGATTACTCCCCGTTTCCGCATTCGTGCCATTTAATTTCCCTCCCCGTGTAATTTTGCTCGCGTCGAACCGAAAATATTACGGAGCTCATGCAAATCGCTCGGCCCTAAATCGATTTATACATACGCGACGTTATAAATCGCGGGACGCCCAACTTTTTTCATAAATCAAAGATACGATCGCGCGAATGTCTACCATTCCAATATCATCGATTAAACATTGGCATGCGATCGTTTTATGTAATATTTGTCGTATGATTACGAGATATTTTTGTAATTTTCTTTCAGTCAATTTGATCATATTGATCAAACTTTATTCAACTGATCATACTGAGAAGTTATCAATTTTTTTTTCCTGAAAAAAAGAGAAGGAGGAGAAGGGCGAAAAAAACCGATTTTCGCGTATGCACGCAGAACGTGCCGCGAAAGAGAAAGGTTGATTACTATAATTCAATGTATAGTCAGTAAAAATGGCGCAGCTGTCGGATTGTTCGTTATGATTATTTCATTCAACGAACGCCATTCAATTTCCTTACAGCCATGCCGTTTCCGGTGACATGGTTTTGTCTTCTGGCACCGAATGGCGCGCATGCACCGAATGCAGTACCGATGCACGTGATTTTGTTTGAGATAACATCGCTGTTGCATCCGGTGTAACGTTTCATGCGTACAAGTGTATTAAATCTATTTATTCAGGAAGATCCCTTCATATGCAACTAGAGAGGAAAAACGTAATAAGACAGTAAATAATTGCCTTTAACTCAAAATATATAATATATATATATCTCTCTCTCTGATATGCATTTACTTGGTATAAAATAAAAATATTAAATAAATAAACAAATAAATTCGGTTAATAATTAAAATTAAAGAAATGGCAATAAGAGTCAAGCGCGAGCGATGGTACGCATATATTATAATAAAATGGACATTACAAAATTTATAATAACGTGTGCCTTTCTTTGGCGCAAGAATAAATTAAATAATATTGAAACCAAAGTTAAATTTAAAAGCGGCCGATAAATTACTGTACAACATAATAAATAAGGTGGCCACGAAATAAAATATTAAGTTTACACAATACAATACATGTGTTCTTCATGGAAAATTCATCGCATGTTATGCAAGAACAATTAACGAGCTGAAATTGTGACGGTAATTCGTGGCAAAACTTATTCGTAGATGCGCGCAGTTCCCGCGAAATTATGAAAAAAAAGAAACCAAACGTTCGACTACTTTTAATGCCGGACGTAGCTGTCGGCGCGGAGCACCGCGCTCGTAAAAGTCCCAGCAACGCGATTACCGTAATAAATATGAAACGAGATCTTGCAGCGTAAGCACGGGGTAAGGAAGAGAAGCCGCGAGCGCGCGAGCGGAGGGAAAGAGGCTAAGTACGCTGCGTTGCGTACGCGCGAGACGCGGTGCTGCATTGCTCCGCGGTACCACCTGTCAAGCCGATGTAAATCTTTATACTTAATGTTTACGACTCATTGTGCGTGTTCGCGAGCGGCGAACAAGCGGCAAGAAAAATTGCGCTGAGAAATTAAATATAGCTGTGTGTATTTGGAAAGAGCGCTTACCTCCGGTTGCTCGGAAGTTTAATAGAAAAATCTTGTTCTCCGTTTAATTTCGAATTTGTTTACCGCGCGGGATTCAATGAAGCTATGAAAATCTCAATAATATACAGCACTTAGAACGTCCGCTTACACAACGCTTACGCGAAATTAGTTCGTGGGAATTGCGAAGCTTTCAATAACGTTATTACAGATGTATCGAGTGTACATACTCCGACAAGAAGAGATATTTCAAAGGTGTTTTCCAATAATTTATATACATAATACGCACGCCCGCGGTGGACAGTAAACGACGTTCCAATTTGCTGGGCTAAGATTTATTTCAATACGGGTTTAAGAGATTTCAAGTCCAATTTCAAAATTTTATTTTGTCCTTTGCAACGACGAATTTAACGCCGTCAAGATTTTAATCTTCGAGTTCTCTCTTCTGAAGCTTAACGAAATCAAATTTCCAAACTTGATAAAAATTCTACTCCGGCAAAGAGTGCACGGAGAGAAGTTCTTCTTAAAATCATGTAATCGCGGGACAACACGACACTTTAAAGAATTTTACGAGAGTCATTTTGAAATTTTACCATACATTTTACCAGTAATTGAACTTAGTATGCATTTTACTATTAAACTGTATGGTAAAATTTGAAAAAAAATTCATAACGTTCTTCAAAATGCCACGTTGTCCCGCAACCACGTGATTTTCAGGATAAATTTTAAGAGAAAATTCTCTCCGTGTAGAAATCGTTCGCGATGTGGCGTGCATTCGCTCCGGTCCGGCGAACCCGGGCTTTTCGCGATGGTCCATTTGTAGGCCGCGCGCCGTGCGCGGCCAAAAATGACGGGGCCGCGCGATCAGTTATGGACGGCGGCGTCCGCGGATCCCCAATAATTCCGTGCTCCCGCGCCGTGACGGATCTTTGTTGGTTTGTAAAACTAACGTCCGTACATTCCATTAAAACGGCCATCGGTATGCGCGGCAACGATCCCGTCTCGCCGGGCACGTAGACGAAACATGCGGCCGGCGCGGCGCTCTCATGAAATGGAATCAATCAAATATGAATCGTGTGCACGCGCGATGACGTGCATATAGGCGCCCCCGGTCTCGCCTTGCTCGTTTTTCCGCACGTCGCCGCGCGACCGCGTCTGCCCGAAACCACGTCGGAAGCGTGGCACGTTCTCGCGGAAGTCACGGGTAGAAGAAGCTATTAACTTTCGATTACAATATTTTGATGATTCTTGCGAACCTTTCTTTAAAAAAAAAGGAGAAGAACAGCAAAGTGTCTGTACATTATAACATTTGCGTTTCTTTGTCCTTTTCTATTTCCTTCTCTCCCCTATCTTTTTTTTCGGTTTCTTAATTCTCTCTTTTGAATTCAAAATTTCTCGGACTAGAGTGTTTCTTGTCGTCTTCTTCTTGTTAATTGTCAGTTACAGCCAACCGCACGCGATACTATTTTTCCTACCGGATTACTCACGAGAACCAGTGAGGACGCAGAGGTTTAGCTTAGGTGACTTAAGGGGATGTTGAAGTGATTCCGCACTTTTGGCACCTTTTTGACTTAATCTGAATAATGGGATACTGTCGGTCTGTACACAAAAGCCACATAATTTGTATATTACACAAATGTTTTCGTGAATTGACAGCTCTAGGAGCAAAATGTGCCATTCTGATTGGCTCTCGTAAATAATCCAGTAGGAAAAATGGTGTCGCGTGCCGTTGGCCTCAGTCTCCGTTAACTGTCCCAAGGCCCAACATGAGGGTGCAATTTGCATTGAATTCGTGTCGCCGCCCGCAGGTGAGAAAGCGGCTCGCGAGTATGAAAGTGGAGGGCGGAGTGGCGACGACGACGACGGTCCTCCACAAGGTCAAGGTCAAGGAAGAGACGAAGGAATGCTGCGGCTACCAGCAGGCCTCGCCATCGTCCACGTCGGCGGCGGCCACCGCGACCGTCGCGACGCTCACCGTCTCGGCTGCGACGGCGATCACCACGACCGTCACCAACAGCAACGGCGTTTCCACCGTCAACGCGAATACTTCCGCGACCACCACGGTCGTCGCCGCCGCCGCCGCCGCCACCCCCGCTCTGCAGTCCCCCGGTATTATCTGCCATCCGCCGACGACCGTCTCCAACACCGTGGAATCCTTCCCGGTCGACCTCGACCTCAAGGCCAAGAGTAAGGGTGAGTATCTTTTGCACGCGTAGCTGAGAAAATATCGACTGCGTGACGTTAGCAGAAAGCACAACAATGACTCGACATGCAGGTGCTTCCTCCCTCAGGAGATAGCATCGATCCCCTCGGGGTACGGGGAAGTCGATTATCTCGAAGAAAGGACTTCACCCTTTTAAAATGTATAGAGGAGAGTCCCGTATTATGAGATAGGCTTCTAACGTGGGACAGCAGGTCTTCGACGTCCAAATTCAATCGCAAATCTTTTTCGCAACGATTACACGATCTAACAATCAATTTCCCACTAAACAGATTTCGTTTCAAGAGTAATAAATTCGTGGCGAGTGTGGCGCGGAGAAATGTACGCTGCTTAGTAAAGAAATGAACGAAAAGATCAGAGTTGAAATCCACCGCTAGTTTTTTTTCGGAATTTCCCGAAGGTAAGTGGCAACCACCGAGAATGTCCTGCCACACATACCCCTTTAGGGGGTATAGCCCTCCAGATTGGAGGTTTTCTTCGGTTAGCAGCCTACCGAAGATGAAGTAAAACCAAATGCTCAAAGTATCAGAACGAACTGAATAAAACAGGCTTTATGCTTAATACTCGAGGAAGAAAAAGAGTAATAAATTCACGGCGGAAGCAATAGATGATGCTTGTTAATTTAACAGAAACCTCGCTATCTCATATTAAGAACCTGACGCATAATAGGGGAGGAACTTTCTTTTATTAATATGAGTTTTATAGAGTAGTCTCCCTCCGCTTTTCCAAAGTCTCCCGTCGAGCGTGTCCACTAAACGAGATTCCTCGAGATATAAATATTTCTACCTTCTAAGAAAAACGATCGATCGGTCAGCTCAACCTATTTGCCAATGTGTAAATACCAATTTGTATTGACCTATCGATTCCGTGGTCTAGTTTCGCGTAATGTCATGCCTTGCAAAATGTAAGCTGACGTATTGACAGATCCCTGACGCGTGACGTAGTGGAATTAAGTAGACGGTTGTTTCGCGACACGCGGCCGTGGCGGGAGGCCCTTCGGTCGCATTAAAAAGCGCAAAAATAGAATTGAAATTGAAATACATGAAACCTTGATCGCCGCCATTAACGCGAACGATTGCATTATTATACTTCATGTTTAATTATGACGCAGCGATTCCAAGTATCTCGTTGCGAAGTAGATGCGACGTTCAGAGTTGTTAATATCCTCTTCACTTCCATCACGGTCGGCAATATATTGTAATAACGCGTCGGCGGAGTGACACGTGTCGTTTAAAAATTAACAACGTGGCCACTCTAGTCCATTTCATCTATCGTGCGGTCGTAAAAAACAAATCGCGCGAGTTCGCTATTCTATTAATTCCGGATATCGTTTCCCGGTCGAGAGCGTGTCGACGGTACAGACGGTGCAGGTGGGGCAAGTGCAGTTTATCTAATTTCAGATTCGCATCACGGTACATTATTTTTTTCCCCCTTCCGTCCTTAACGCGGATTTCAATGCTTAGCGCAGCTGTCGGCCGTCACGCTGTCGCTTACAATCTGTCACTCGCCAAGATTGCGCTATGTGACAGCCAATTTTAAATTGCCGACAAAATTATTAAGTTTTTTAATTAAAACCGGTACGGGCGGCGGGAAACGTAAAAATTAATACAATTATAATTGAAGCGGGCGAGACTACTGCGCGCGGCGAAAAAAACGGGCGCAAAGTCTATAAAGCTGAATACTGAAAATGGACGCAACTTTAAAATACGTCATTTCTCTCTCAACATTTTGTCCGTCGTCGCTTTTTTAAACTGATGGGTCGGCTCTAATTTAATCATTCCGTAGGTACTTCAAAGATCCGATCCCGGTCCGCGTAAAGCCGGCGGTTCGCGCAACGGCGCTCTTTCCCGACGAGCGTCGCCCGGAAGTTGACCCCGATCCTCGAAACTGAAAATTAAAAGGAACGACCTCGCCGATGTCCGCGCGAGAGCCCACGCTGTGGGCGCGTCGTACATTAGTTCGGAATATTGCATGGTGGTACCCGTATATCCAGTCCACGCGCGCTCTCGCCTGAATCGTACATTCAGCCCGAGCCGGTTATCTAGACGAGCGGCGAGCCCGCAGCTAACTTGGAAACCGGGGCTCAGGAAAAAAGCCCCTTCTGGCACATCAAAGCCCGTCATCGCGTCCGAGCGCGGGCTCTCTCTCTCTCTCTCCCTCTCTCTCTCTCTCTCTCTCTCTCTCTGTCTGTCTGTCTGTCTTTCTCTCTTTGCTCGTCTCAGAATCGGTTTTGTTGACGTTACATAAAAGGGGTCGAGACGTGTCGCGTTCGTCGCTGATTGATGCGACGAAAAGATCCATCATAAAATACGATAGAAGCCCCCCAACGTGTCACATAAGAGTACGACGATTTCCTACTTAGACGGAAATTAGGAGGAAAACTCTACATTACTCGCTATGTACTTTGATAGTCGATAGGGCTTGACAGTTCTGTACACGTCTATCGCGGTCTTTAGCACGCGTTTAGGTGCACAGAGGCATACACGTGCACGCGTGGATATGTATGCGAAAGCGCAATGCAAGAGATTGCAGAGAGGGAGAGAGAGAGAGAGAGAGATGGAGTGTGCTTCGTGGGGGATGATGGCGAAACTCCTGCGAGCAGTCAGTCAACTTGGTTGGCTGGCCCGGTGTGTGTCGGTTAGGTTCGTGCGCCGCCTGACTGCCTGGTCCAGACGCGATAAGGCACGTCCGACACTTCCACTGGGATTCTGCTCGGGGCTGATATCATATCCGCCCGCGCCGCCGCGCCGGGGCATCCCCGGCGCTACGCCGTTTGAGGTGTATTTCGCGATAGTCACCCGCACACACCGCGTGTGCTTACGGGGCGCGGCTTACGACCTGGGGCTCGTCTCCCCGGCGTGTGTCCGTCGTCCCGTCTTTCGCGCGACCGATCTTCGTAAAACCGAAGGGCCCGCGATACCGTGGCTGTCGATAGAGAAAATAAGCTAGCGATCGCCTCGAGGTCGTCCGACGTTACCTGCGATTAGTTTACAGATGCGTCAACAGCTCTGATACCAGTTAAGCCCTTTCGAAGGCGATACGTTTCTCGCTAATTACACTTGACATCTCTGGAGCTAGCGAAATTATCCCGAGGCAGTCCCGTTTCCATAAACGTTAACTAGGTCATTAATGGCTTTTTTTTACGGTCGCGGTTTCGATAACAGTTGAAATTTATCGAGGCTGAATTAATCCTTTGTCTTTATATATATAATTTTTTTCTTTGGAAAGTGACAGGAAATAAAATTAAACCACAGTTAGCGTTTTTCGATATCTATGGGATAGCAGGTTATCAGGAGAAGAGGGGTTCATCGATAGAAGTCCAGTTATTTTTAATTGAAGTTTTTCGGGGGACGGCCCGTGTACATCTTCTCTCTATCCAAGCCAAAAAAGAAGACATTAAGCATCGCGACGCGTGATTGAGCTTCAAGCGTGCAACCGATCAGACGGGCGCGGTGACCGGGATGAGATCTGAGGGTGACGTTCCCGGCCCCTAAGTGGTACGCTTGTCTGCGAGATGAAATCGAACACATGGAGTCGCGAGAGACGTCGGGATCGAATCGGCGGGGAGGCGGCCTCGCGAAGAAGGATGCGAGAAAAACGGCGGCGGCGGCGGCGGCCGAAGAAAGGGGGAAACTCCGTGCGGGACGAGGGGGGAAAGAGAGCGAAGGAGAATTCGAGAGCGGCAAGACCGTAGGGTAGGGATTGCGATCAAAGCCATCTGTTGCATTGTCCCGGCAATTAGGAGGCGACAGCTGAGTCCCACCGTACTTACTTCCAGCCAGGGACTCTCAGCCGCGTGGAGCACGTGCGCTTTATCGATCTCGCTCTCTTCGTGCCCCGTCGAACGTCGCCCACGAAGACCACCTTGCCCCGTGCGGAACCTGCGTACGGCACGGGTGCGTAAACCCGGATGCTAATCCGGGCGCAGTTGCAGTCAGCAGCTGCGATTAGCGGGCGCGCGTATTCTTCTGTATCTGCATGCGCAGGCAAATACGTCGTCCGTATTGGCGAATGAGATCATTTTCGAACATTTTCGGGACAATTGCGATTAGTTTACTTTAGCGATACGCTTGTTAATTAACGGCGTCGTATTCGTCTTCTTGAGAATAAAGAGTACACGGGGAGAATTTTCTCATAAAATTTCACTCTGAAAATCATGTAATCGTGGGACGTCGCATTTTGAAGACCTTTATGAGAGTTTTTCGAAATTTTACCATACAGTCTACTAGCAAAATGTATACTAAATTACTATAGTAAACCATTGAGGCCCGGTTTTTCATTTTCTGGTTAACTGTTAACCCGAAGTTAGTCGACTCTCCATCCTTTTATATGTTATTATCTGAGAAGAGGCACACAATGTTCTGGTTAACAATTAACCAAAAAATGAGAAACCGGGCCTGAATGGCGACTTAGTATAAATTTTACTAATAGACTGTACGGTGACATTAAAAAAAACTCTCAGAAAGGTTTTCAAACTGCCACGTTGTTCCACGATTACATGATTTATACAGGACAAATTTTAAGAAAAAAATTCTCTCCGTGCATTAAACGTAGATCTTGAAAGTCTGAGATTCTGAAAACTACCCCTACGAAGTCAACGGTCCGTCTTCAACATCTCTAGATATTTAGCTTCAAAGATCCCTTTATATCTGATCACTCTACAACTTGTTCAGAAACGTATCAGGAATTTCTCCTTGGGGCATTTTAAAACTTTACTTATTATATAAAAAAGTAGAGTTTAGAGATAGAGATTTGAAAAGGATAATCTAGTAACAAATGTTACGAAACAAATAGCAACGTAAACTTGCGTAACAATCTTGCAGTACTTCTGTAAAGTCATATGAAGTTCCGTGCAACTGCGAAAACAGGAGTAAGGATCGCTGTAAGCGTTGCTAATTGCGCGAATGGCTTACGTCAGCAACAGTGCGGCGAAAGTAACTGCGGCGAGGGAACGGTTGATTGACGTAACAGT